GGGGCACCCTAGTTATTTCTTATTACTAATAAAGTATAGATGAGTTCAAATAATTCACTTTTGATAGGTTAGGAGATGTTAAAAATAGACTCTCAAGTTCCCTCTGTAAAATGTCAAGCTCACACACTTGCATTCTGAAATCCTTTCTTGGCCGGGAAAGATGAGGTGCCGCCATCTCGCCGGTGAGCCACGATCTGTACACAGCCCCGGGTGCACCTGAGTCCTGTGCCAGACCCGCCAGGAGCTCAGGGTGTGGCAGGGATCCTGGGCTGGGAAGTGCTGCTTTAGAGGTTAAGACACTGCTTTTCTTCCTGGATCCATCCTTGTCGTGTAACCCATCTCAAGTGCCTTCCTTGATTTCTGCTATTAACTCAGTGTGGCCTGGCATCCCCTCCATTGTTTGATTCATGAGAACGCCAAGCCCTCTGTAAGGCTTGTATGCACCATAGGGAAACACACACACACACACACACACACACACACACACACACACACTGGCCTTCATTTTGAGAGAGAAGGCTACGGAGGGCACTCCCCGTTTTACAGCTGCGGCTGCAGAGGGCAATGTGCTGTCTCAGTGTTCTCATCTTTTCAGGGCTTGGCAGACACATGGCCCGGTGGAAGGGTCGTGTGCTTTCGTCTTATGGAAACATGGCCTTAAATTCCAGCTCTATTACCCACTGACTAGAGGATTCTGGTGCTGGCCTTGGGCTTGATGTTTTCAACTTCTTAGTAGACAGACCGTTGTCATGAGGCTAACAGGAAATACTTAAGAGTTTTACACCCGATTTTCTTACTGCTTGCTGAGCCATTCATTTCATACTCAGTCTGCAGGAAGAAGGGCAGGGATTGTCACCTCCATTTTAGCGCGGAGGAAAATAAGTCTTAGGGATGCTAGGTGACCCGTCTGGGGCAGAGCTGGGTTTAGACCTGGACCCCAGCCTCGGGCTTGGCCCCGTGCCCAGTGGGGCACCCCTGCGCTGCCCTCCTCCTGGGAACATCCTCAGGGCTCAGGGATGGGAGAGAAAAAGTACCAGAGCAGGGCGGACGCGTCAACCTCATAGGAAATCTGCCTCGAACACCCGCCTTTGAATAGGGCACTGGCTTTTTGGTTGCCGTTGATTGCTTTTAAAGCAATATGGCATTTCTGTGTATAGAAGCCACCCAGAAATCCCTGAGCCAATGCGACCTTGAGGTCGGAAATAACCACATTATCTCCTGGCCCACTGCCCCACCACCCCACCCCCGGTGCGAGGACTCCCTCTTGGGAGCATGGATTGTTCTTGCAGGGTCCTAGACTGTTTAGTTTTGGGTTCTCCTCTGTCACTCAGGAGCTGACCTTCTCAGCCCTGACAGTGACCTTGAATCTGACTTGCTGTCCAGAAGCAGCTATGGCCACAAGTGTAAATTCTACTGGAGGCTTTGAGCGTCAGGGGATCAAAAGGGTCTCCTAGCAGTTTTGACACAGATCCCATAGCTGGTCCCAAGGGCCTACATCAAAGTCCCTAGCACCTCACGGAGAGTTCCTGTGGCTTGTCTGTGCTGCTGTCACCGTCCTGAAGCTTGAAGCCCCTGCTGCCAACGTCTCCTCAACAGCGGCCCGTTGCCTCTGCCACGGTCCGGAGGGAATTCCCAGCCCTGACTAGCATTGTCCCAGGGCCTGGGCAGGTGCACAGGGAGGAGTGGGAGGCAGTGTTAAGAGCACAGGCCTGGGAGTCAGAAGGGCTTCCTCCAATGCTGGCTGTGCAACACCTCCCTGCACACAATTAATCTCGCCCTTGGAGATTAGATGATAACGGCACGAGCCTCGGGGGCTTGTGAGGATGGAATGAGAGGAGGCATATAAACTCCATGAAGGCTGGACTTGGTCCCTCTTTCCCTGGCTCCATCTGTTGCACAGAACAGCGGCCCCCACCCTAAATGGCCGAATGAAGGTGGAGCATCGTGCCTGGAAGACCACGATGTTAGCCACGTCAACTCCACCGTCACTGTTACGTGCCCTCCCACTACCAGGAAAATACGTATGTGACCTGCAGATGGGGAGGGGTACATGGCCCCAGCTAGTAGCCCGGAAGTGCTGTTTGAGTGATGGTGGTCAGTGGGGAGACCGGCAGACTCCTGGCCTGAGAATGGAGGACATGACGTGTCCGCTGGAGTGTCTCGGTAGGCAGAGTCAGCGCGTGGGCATTTGGAGGCGGCAATGTATTCTTTCTTTATGAAAATACAAAAAAAATAAAAGAACCTCCAGTGGCGAAGGGTTTCCTTTCTCGTTTCTTGTCTGCCAGACCACCAGGCAATGGCTGGGCGCATTGGGTCAGTGTGGCGGTGACTGGCTTATTCCAGGAATGACAAGCTCCAGGGGGACAGCGCAGGGGAATTGGGTCAGCAGGGGGTCACCCAGCAGGAAGACGGAAGAGCAGGGAGGGGACAAAGGGACCAGTGGCTCCACCACAAGGCTCCACCCCCAAGGCTGCAGGTGGTCACAGAATTTATCACCATGACCTTCAGAGTAGCCAGAGCCTGCTGACCTCTGTCTGGCTGGTATCTCGAGATTCCTGCTCACACGGAGGGCTGGAAGGATACTTGGTGCTCAGCTCCAGGACATGGCTGCAACCGTAGCCTGAGCCTTCCTGACCCTTAACGAGTGTCAAGGCTTTCAGTAGGCCTTACACCTAAAGACATGCTCAAGATGTCGGATTCAGTGTGGTGGTGTGGAAAATGGCTCTGGGAAGCCTGGTTCTAGGCCTAGCTCTACAGTAATTAGCTGTGCCTTCAGGTAAGTCATCTTGCCTCTCTGGACTCCAGTGTCCTCACATATAGGCACTCATCTAGGGGGAGATATGGCGCTCTCCAGGATCTTGTTCTTTTTTTTTTTTTTTTAAGATTTATTTGAGAGAGAGAGAGAGAGCAGGGGTGGGGCAGAGGGAGAGGGAAGGAATCCCAAGCAGAATTCCCACTGAGCGTGGAGCCCCATATGGGGCTCGATCCCACGACCCCGAGATCATGACCTGAGCTGAAACCAAGAGTCGAATGCCCAACTGACTGAGCCACCCAGGCGCCCCTCGCCAGAATCTGTTCGTGTTCTAATATTCCACAGTTCTACCTTTTCCCACCTGAATAATGGTCAGAGGAGGTATCATTTACTGCTGGCTCGTTAGGTTCCAGGTTCTATGCCAGGTATAGAGCAGGAGATGTCTCCTTTGGTCCTCATGAGCACCCTCTGTGGTAGGTGTTATTATTATTCCTATTACACAAAGGAGGGAATGGAGCATCCCAGAGGCTCATGGTGCTGGTGCTGGTGTTAGTTACCACGCTCGACTTTATACAGCGCCAGTCTGTCCTTGAGCTGCAAAGTGCTATTCATCTTATGGATTAAATTTCTTTTCTTATCATTTCCTTTCTCGTTACGTACTCTCCCGTGGGAAGCACATGAAAAGTCAAGAGCTGGATGCTCCCTGAGCTCTGAGGGGGCAGTTTGGCGCGAGTGCCAGCCCACTAGAGTGGAGCCCACGGGGCTGGAGTTCTCCGAATGGAACAAAGGCCCAAGGAGCAGGAGGGAGGCACAGGTCCTACAACCAACCAGTGTCTGCTTAGATGGAAGTTATTAATCTGGAGGCAGCAGGCTTGAGTGTGAGGCCGACCACCTCCTGGGTGTCGTTCCTGGTCAAGTCCTGTGACTTCTTTAGGCCTCGGTGCCTCATTTGTAAACTTTAGATAACAGATATAGTATATTGAGAGGAATGTTCAGAAAAGCCCTCTGTGAACCCTCCTGAATGTCACTCCTCCAGGCCTGAGTAGAGGGTTGGGCACAAGCACAGGATCTGAAAAATCTTTGCTCTGGTTGTGGGCCAGGCGGTGGCACCATGATTTTCTGGGTATTACCCACCTAACTTGTTTTACTGGAGAATATTAATCAATGCCTAACTCGTCTTGGGGATTGAAAGGACCTCTGGAAATGCAGCCCAAGGCCGGAGCAGAAATGGTCTGCTAGCAAACGCTACTGAAGAAGACATTACGAATCATATTGTGCGTTCCCATTCAGATCTATCCACTTAAGGAACCGCACCCGGGGGGGCCCCAGGACCCTGGACAGCAGTGTGATTCCATGCCTGGGTGCAGGAATTGGGGCACTGCTTCCTTAATTCCCTGAAAACCCAAAGGAAAAGTACAAATGAATAACAAGGTGAAATGACATGAAAGCCCATTTCTTCCCTTTGAGAAGAGCTGCCCACCCCCCACGCCACTAGCTGATAATGGCCACCCCTCATCAAATATTTATCCCAGCCCTCGCAGTCCTCCATCCGCCTCCAGCATCGTGCCAGGGATGGAATTTGATTATTAAAAATGGTCAGGAGTGAGGCCGGCAGACTACAAAGTGCCTGGGATGGAAGGGGGGGCGGACATCAAAGCCCCATATTCTTCCTTAAAGGTCGTCTCTGGAAGCAGGGGCCTTCTGTTAGGCAGTAAAACTTGCAGGGGTTCAAGGAGGGGGTCCCTGTGTGCCTCCCAGCCTCTGGGGCGGCGCTTGTTCTTTTCTTTCCTCGGCCGGTGGGCCAGAAGGGAGCTAAGCCCAAGCCCTGGGGCCAGAGGCCTGGCTCCAAGCCATGGGTTTATGAAAAGCAGGAGATACCCTGCCCCACTCAAACACGTGACTGTCTTCACTTTTAAGGGGGGGGGCTGGCATTTCATTAGTGCCCTGTTTGAAGCCTGCCCTTTGCAAAGCAGAAAATGAAGAGAAGAAAGCAAGCATGGAAGCGGATTCGAACAATCTTCTGGTGTCTGGAGTTTCTGAGGTCCTTTTGTGTGGCTTCACTCATTACAAGGGTGGAAGAGCCTGTCGGGCAAGAAACACGCCTGGTGTTTATAGTTTAATGGAACCCAGGGACCAATTAACCACACTGAGTGCCAACGGGCAAAGCATTTCTTAAAGGAAGAGGGAACTCTTATATTATTGCTTTCCCCCCCCATTTCCCCAAATAAAAGACAAATGCTATGTCAACAGTTTCTCAAGAGCGATCCTTTATTTTCTGAAAGTCCTAACACTGACCCATTTATCACAACATGACGGATGCCCCAGTCTCCACAAAATATCCTTTTCTCTCTCGCAAATCCTTGGAGCCCCGAGAGGCTGCAGCCTGGTCCAGGCAGTGGCATCAAAACCTGCCCTCCACGCCCAGCAGCTGCACCACGGCCTCCTGCACGGCCTGGTGCACGCGCCCGACCTCTCTCTGGGACAGGGTCCGCTCCATGTGGCGGTAGGTGATGCGGTAGCAGTGGCTGGTCTTCTGCGTCCTGGAGAACGGAAGAGAAAGGCAGGTGAGTGAGGGACAGGCGTGCCCACTGCCTACAGGGGCCGTGCTGGTGGCTCTGACCTTCTCAACCCCAGTGGAGAGCTGAGGATGGGATCCAGGCGGTATAGGGACATCGCTCGCACTAACGGCCTCTTACGGGCTTCGTGGGAGGTGGTGTTAGGGGAACTCTGACTTGAATAATCAGGACTGCGGCTTCCCATTGGCCCAGAGGCATTCAAGTCCCCTGGGAAGGGCATTTCTTATGCATCTGATTTTCCCGGGGCCAAGCTCTGGAGATCGTGGTCCAGCAGGTGGGGTGTGGGTTCTGGGCTTTTGGGCTTTTTGTCGGCTCCCCAGGGGACTCTGATAAGCAGAGAGGGTTAGGAACCAAGGCCAGTATGCCTCCACCTTTCTCACAGCGCAGAAAACAATCACGGGTGGAAAGCACACGGGGGTCCCAAGGCTGGGACTGGCCCCGGGGGCTCTAGCCCTCTAGAAGGCTGAGAGGTATCACTCTCTTCGCATCCCTGTAGGCCATGGAAAGCATACAGACAATTGTGCCATAAGGACATGCTTCCAAGGTCCAGGTAGTGGGACCTTTTGCAGAACTGGGTCTTCACAGAGACATGTGACAAGCCCCAGCACTGCAGCGCCCAGGTCAGATGCTCCGAGCACATGCTTCAAGACGCTCTCTCCACCAGCGCACCTCTGTGCTGCAGATACACCAGACAGCCTCACGGTGCTGCTGGAAGGGCAAGGCCCACCCTGCTGGGGTCCTTAAGAAACTGTCCAGTACAGAGGTACAGCCCACTGTGCCCTCCTGCACTGCATCTCCCATAGCTGCTGGAAGGCCCCACTTGGCCTCCCCTGGGACAGAAGACAGGCTTTTCTTTCAACTGGATGCCATCAAAATTGGATGCTGCAACATCCTGAGCTTCTGAGAGATGGAAGGTTCTGGAGGAGGAGAAATGAGTTAAGGAGGGAGGAAGAGGGCAGAGGAATTGTAGATGCCTGAAGATGATGCAAACATTTACGAGAACAAGTGTGGCCTTGCGATTGGGGGGCCCAGGTTGTCAGTGACCTGGAGACGGTGCAAGGGTGTGATGGTTTCCTGTGTGTGTGTGCAGGGGGTGGGGGGGTGAGCACTGCCAGGTCAAGCTGCGTGCACTGCAGGGGACCACCGCTGCCCGCCCTCCAAAGTCCCTGTCCGAGAGAGGGACACAGAGGCCCCTTACGAGGTGCAGCAGACCAGGGTCCTAGCGCTGGCTCCTCCATCTCTGGGCCATGACACACCTTTCCTGGGTCTCCGTTCCTTCTCTGTTGAAAGAGCTAACAGCAGCGCCTACTCCCCCAGGCTTTCCAAACTGTTGCAGAGACCTATTTAGAAAGTGACAGGGCTCTGCAAATTATGAAATGCCATACAAGTGTGAGGCCAGAGTATCCCTGTGGCAACTGTTAGTACATTTTCTCATTGGTTTCCTCTGGCATCTCTTACTTAGCTGAAGAGCTGGTAATATGGCCACTCGACAAGTTGAGATTTCCAACCCAAAATGAAAAATTTATCATCTTGTTTCTGTGTGCTTCAGAGAAGGCCTCAATTCAAACAGCTTTTATAAAACATTTCGATGAGTGAGGTGTAAATGAATCATAAACATATGGATTAATTTCATAAATTGAGAGAAATAAAATTGGCAGAATATTTGGTGATAATTCCGTAGATTCAACTGAAAATCAACCAGCTTTGCCTTTTCCTACCATCACTGGTGAGAGAGAGAAGACTTACTTTTATTTGTTTTCTAGGAACTCTTTTTTTTTAAGATTTAATTTATTTATTTGAGAGAGAGAGAGAGCGTACACACACGTGAGCCGTGGGAGATGCAGAGGGAGAGCGACAAGCAGACTCTATGCTGAGCGTGGAGCCTGATGTGGGGCTTGATTCCATGACCCTGAGATCATGACCTGAGCTGAAATCAAGAGTCAGATGCTCAACCGACTGAGCCGCCCAGGTGGCCCATTGTTTTCTAGGGACTTCTTTTTGGAGCTTTTAGTTGCTGGGACACACTCCTGCCCTCCTTTTGCTTGCTGGAGAACTGGAAGAAGTGGTGCGGCCGGTGGTCATGAGGCTCCTCGTCCTTGAGGAGTGGGCTCTCCACAAGAACCACAGAGTCACAGAACTGAAGGATCTTGTGGCTTATCACTGAGTAGGTATGAAGATGGATTCCTTCAAAGGAGGGATGCCCTCAGTGCTCAGCTCCAAGTATGCAAATTAGAGCTCTTTTGATTCTTTTATACAACCCAATGTGGGCCTTTTTAGTCAAAAAGCTTCTCAATCTTGTATCTGCCATGACCTTCACTGTTGCTCAATACACGAGCAGCAAACATTTCTGTAGTGAGTTCTGCACACCGGGCATCATTCGAAGCCCTCTGCTGGCGTTCACTCCTGTAAGCATCCAAACCCCATGGAGTACATAGCATTACTGTCCTGGTTATACAGATGAGGAAACTGAGGCAAGGAGCACAAAGTAACATGCCCAAGTTGAAACAGCTACTAAGCGGCAGGACTGGATTTGAAACTAGGCAATCTGATGGGAATGTAGATGGTGCAGCCACTGTGGATACAGTTTGGTGGGTCCTCAAAGAGTTAAACAGAGAATTACCCTATGACCCAGCCATTCCACTGCTAGGCATATCCAAAAGAACTGAAAGCAGGTGTTCAAACAAACACTTACATGAGAATTTTCACAGTAGCTCCATTTACAACAGCCAAACAGGATATAGCCATCAGGGAGATGAAGGGGTAAACAAAATATGGTATATCCACACCATGGAGTATTATTCAGTCATTAAAGGAATGAAGTACTGACACCTGCTACAATGTGGATGAACCCCAAAAGCAGGCTGAATGAAAGAAGCCAGACACAACAGATCATGTACCGCATCATTTCATCCACACGAAACATCCAGAAGAGGGCAATTCATACAGACAGAAAGCAGACTGGTGGTTTCCAGAGGGTGGGGGAAGGAGGTATGGGTAGAAACTGCTTAACCACGGACTCCAACAGAAGTGTCTGTTACAGACCCCACTGGAAGAGTCTCAACAGGAGAGTCATCAATTACAGTCCCCCACGGGGAAAGATGTACATCACATCTCCTTCAAGAGATCCACCACCCGTGAAACTCAGCCAGTGAGAAACCGTCATCACCCCGACTCTTGCTTCTCTCCAGTGGACTTCTGTCCAAAACAACCCCTCTCAACCTCCTCCATCTCCATAAAATAATATTCTTCTCTTTTGTTTGTGGGATTTGCCTATGGTTGTGCCATAGCTGGCTTGTTCCGGACTGTAATTCTCTGCTATTCCCAAATAAACACAGTTTGCTGGGAAGATCATTGGCCGTTTTAAGGTGAACAATGGGTATGAGGTTTTCTTCTGGGGTGAAGGAAATGCTCTGGAACTAGGTAGGTAGTATGGTTGCCTAACATTGAGAACATACTAAAATGCCACTGAACCGCCCACTTTAAAAATGGTTAATTTTCACCTCGTTACAAACACACATGGACTAGGCAGTTTGGTTTCAGGGCCCAAGTATGAAGTAGCAAGCCTCAGCACTCCAGCACGCTCCTCCTCTCTTCCTGTCGCACCTCCAGCCTCTTCCTTCTACCCCCAACTTCCCCTAAGAAGTGACAGGGCTTGCGAGCTACTGAGAAGGGTAATGTCTGTAATCCTCCTGCTCAAGGAAGAGATGGAGTAAGCCCATGTTCCTTTCTAGCTCAGCCCTGTGACTAACAGAGAGCACAAAGCCACACATGAGGTATAACTGTGACACGGAGTGGGAAGCCCTAGGACAGGGATGCTTTTTAATAAAGGCCTTTCCTACTTAAGGGGCCATTAAAAGGGCAGGCTGCAAAGCCAAGCAGCTGTGGGGAATAAGAGAGCTGTGGGGAGAGTATGGGATGGGGGTGTGTGTGTGTGCAGCTGCAGCTCTTGTTCCACCCCCCCCCGGCCGGTGGTAAGCTGCCATAGCGCCCCCCACCCCGCCCCCGCCAGACTCACAGGGGCACAATCTTCAGGACAAGAAACCTTCCCTGGAGGAGAGAAGAGACTACATTGACAATTGTGGTTTTCAAGGTAAACAAAAGTTCTCTCTTATGTACTTGATGGCTTCTATTCATCAGCAAAATAAATGAGAAGACTCATTACTGAGTTTGAGAGGGCAAATCTCACTACAGTGAGTTTGAAGAAAGAATCTAAACATTTCTTTTGGTGTTGGAATTTCATTGCATTGTTATATTGGCTAAAACGAGTCGGTCACTGGCTGGAGCTTGAATTTTTAACAGAGATTTAGAACATTTGAGTTTCAAGGGTTTATCACTGGTCTACTCACAGATTCCTTTAGTCTTTCCACAAATAGCATGTTCCAGGCACTGAGCTGCACAGAGATAAGCAAGTGAGGAGAATCCCGACCCAACCAGCTCACATCTGGGGACCAGTGGTCCGCCAAGGTCCTGCAGCCACCAGGGAGGAGCCTGAGCGGAGGACCATTCCCTTCATAGCCGTGATGGGGCTGGTGCTTGCTGTGACATCAGCCACGCTGCACTCCCACCACACAGCCTCCTTCAGCAAATGATTCTTCCCTCTGGTGCTTCCCTGTGAGCATTTCTGTGGTGAACACACAGGCGTGGGAGGCAGGAGGCCTAGTTCCCAGTCCAAGCCCCAGCGATGTCTGTGTGGCCTCCTCAGTGAGAGGGCCAGACTGAATGGGCCCAAAGCTCCTTCAGGCTCTAACATTCCAAGAGTTAGTGCAGAGGACAGATGAGTTTCTAGAGTAAATGCACATGTGGAGGAAATGAGCCAACCAGCCAGCAGCATTTGCGAGCCTGCATGGAATGAAAGAGCAGGGGCCCTGATCTGGGGCAATTTCCAGACAGGCTAATGCATGGACATAAGATGCATTAGTGATATTAGTGATCAAAGCATGAGGGAAGGGAGTTGGCTTAATGGG